CAAGACAGACAGATGCCAACTAACGCATTTTTTCCTGAACATAAAGTGGTTTTGTATATTTTATTTTCATTAATATGTTGAATTGCACACTTCACCCTAGGAGATAATAAGGATATGATAAGGATATGATAAGGGTATGATAAGTGGGTGGTGCTGTGGTCTAAACCACAGAGCCTAGGGCTTGCTGATCAGAAGGTCGGCGGTTCGAATCCCCGCGATGGGGTGAGCTCCCGTTGCTCGGTCCCTGCTCCTGCCAACCTAGCAGTTCGAAAGCATGTCAAAGTGCAAGTAGATAAATAGGTACCGCTCTGGCAGGAAGGTAAACAGCATTTCCGTGCGCTGCTCTGGTTCGCCAGAAGCGGCTTAGTCATGCTGGCCACATGTACGCCGGCTCCCTCAGCCAATAAAGCAAGATGAGCGCCGCAATCCCAGAGTCGTTCACAACTGGACTTAACTGGACTTAACTGTCAGGGGTCCTTTACCTTTTACACGTGGTTCAGCTGGAAAGGTGCGTCGCACAATTCAGAGAAGTGCAAAATTTTCAGCTTGTGTGCAATTTCAGGATATACGAACCAGGTAGGTTTGCATTAAAATGTGAACTAAATCAAATTTCTCTTCCATCTCTAACCCATAGGTATAGAATCCAGGAGACCTTCCTTCTTCTCCTTCTCCTTCTTGACAAATGCATATATGAAGCATCTGTTTCCGGTTTGATCGTTAACGCTTCTTAAGCTTTTCCAGCACATCAATACATCACTTTAGCGAATCGATAAAATGCTTTAGAAACCCAGATAAACAATGCATGGAGAATGGCTGTGTCAACATGCAGGAAGAAATTAGGGAAGCCTTTATAAGAGATAGATTTGCCAATGAGTCATCTTTACAGGATAATCCTAACACAGTGGAATCCTTTCAAACAAACTTCCCTTTGACAATACGTTAGTTATAGTGATATGAGCTGCAAAACTTATTTCTTGCATGTACGCGAGGAAAAACGTGTAGCATAAAGGGAGGAAAACATAGAATTCAACATTCATTATGGTTTTTTAAAATAAAAAGATACATATAAAAGTTACAAAAATAAACTCTTTTAAACATAAAAGTTTCCAGGTACAGATACACTTACAAGCAACGGATGGCATTTGGAAAGAAGAAGGAAATCAAGATCAACTTGGCTGCTGAATGGATTGTAGCCAAAACAGGACCACTGAAAAACAAGGAGTGTATTGCTGGGTGGGTGGGGCTAACAGGACAAAAAAACCCGCCCCCCATCAAAAGAGCCAATGAGGAATAGGCATGTTCAGTGGCCACGGAATGCTGAGAGTCTGTTTGTACGAGGGGACAGAAAGCCAGTATGGATGGGAACTGGATTAGAACAGGCATGCCCAACCAGTAGATCACAATCTACCGGTAGATCCCCAGCTGATCATGGTGGATCACGGGACCCTTATCGATTGTGGGATTAAATACAGTTTACCAAAAGTTAACAAATAAAGGCTGAAGAACTCTAGGCAATCCTACTCCCAAAACTGTGGCCAATCCACCCACCCCACGCACACTCCTCCTACCTCCAATAACAATGGGTAGATCACTGCCAGTTTTTTTTATACTCTTGGGAGTTGGACGTGCCTGGATTAGAACATGGGGGATATGGCAAGTATCTGGCTGGCATTCCCACTCGCACAAGAAGAGCTGTTTCTGCATCAAAAACAGGAGTAGACAATATGATTCCCACCAAATGTTGCTGGACATCAACTCCAGTGGTTAAGAGCGGTAGACTCGTAATCTGGAGAACTGGGTTTGATTCCCTGCTCCTCCACATGCAGCTGCTGGGTGACCTTGGGCCAGTCACACTTCTCTGAAGTCTCTCAGCCCCACTCACCTCACAGAGTGTTTGTTGTGGGGGAGGAAGGGAAAGGAGAATGTTGGCTGCTTTGAGACTCCTTCGGGTAGTGATAAAGCGGGATATCAAATCCCAACTCCTCTTCTTCTTCTCCCACCATCGTCCTCAGCCATCGTTGGCCATTCATGGGAGCAGGAGTCCAAGAACTTCCGGAGGGCACCACGTTGGCTGTCCCTGACCGATGACTTCAGAAGGTCTGGGCAGTGTGGTCTTGCTGCTGGCCCCACCCTCTCTGAGGAGCTGCCAGTTCTCTTAAAGGGCCACTGCCCTGTTCTGTAGGCATCAGCTCCTGCAACAAGGAGGCAGTGAGGACCGCAATGGGAGGACGTCATCCAGTACCTAGTTGTCCAATGATCCTGTATCTTCTAGCTTCAAATGGCATGGAGTAGATGTGGGGCTCCCTAAGAAGCACCTCTTTCCCTTACATGCCTTCCATCAAGCATGATGGGGGTTAACCAGACCGGTTAACTACAATAACAAGTTTTCCCCCCTTTTCTGTAATGTACACAATATTATTATTTTCTCTTTTGTTTTCTACATGGGTACTATTTCTTGTTCCGTGTGTGTGTGTGTGTGTGTGTGTGTGTTATCTTGCTCTGTGAACTTGTCTCTTTGTACTTTTTATTTTTCAATAATGGTAATTTTAATAATAATTTTATTATTTATACCCCGTCCATGTCAGCGGCACAGGGAGGGTGATGAGGTCAAAGAACATGGAAGGACTAATGGAGAAAGCTGCAATGTCTATAGAGGAGCAATGCTGTACACAAAAAGGTGGAGTAAGTATTCAAAACATAACGCAGACAAGGGCAACATCTTTTGGAAAACAGAAACTATTGAGACGAAGAAGGAGGGGGGGAATGAACCCTCCGCCCTCCAACAAAAAAAGCAACCCCAATCTGCTCCTGTTCAATCTCATTTAAATTTAGACTATCACACGATTATCTCTCGCACACATTTTGCTTCTCACCTATTAAATTACATTCGCCGGGAACACAGCCAAGCCAGAACTCCTGGCAGCGTCACTCCCACTAAGGAACTACATTTCTTGCATTTTGGGAACATCGGTGCATTCTTCCAGTTCGGAGAGGGAGGGAAATAGCTTACAAGCAATTAAAGAGATGACACAGATTAACAGGGAGCCAAACCTGTAGCCGTGTCTTTGGGGATCGGATTCATCCGAAAGACGTCGAGTTAAAACCCGCAGAAGAATTTCTTTGGATGGCTGGCAAACGGTGGGAGAGGAAGCCTTCTCGGGAAATCTAAAAATCCCCCAGCTAAAATGAGCACCTTCTATGAAGCCATCTGTTCTTTGCTGATGGCATGGAAGGGAAGGCTGTGGCAGGGGGGGGGGGGCGGGGGCTTCTTCTTTTTGTTGTTTCTATACCGCCCTATACCCGAAGGTCTCAGGGCAGTTCACATAAAGGATCACATACATAAAATCAAAATACAAACAACAACCTAATTTTTAAAAAAACTTAAAAAGAGCCAGCATTTTAAAAAGGGTAAAGGTAAAGGGACCCCTGACCATTAGGTCCAGTCGTGACCGACTCTGGGGTTGCGGCGCTCATCTCGCTTTATTGGCCGAGGGAGCCGGCGTACAGCTTCCAGGTCATGTGGCCAGCAAGACTAAGCCGCTTCTGGCGAACCAGAGCAGTGCACGGAAACACCGTTTACCTTCCCGCCAGAGCAGTACCTATTTATCTACTTGTACTTTGACGTGCTTTCGAACTGCTAGGTTGGCAGGAGCAGGGACGGAGCAACGGGAGCTCACCCCATTGTGGGGATTCGAACCACTGACCTTCTGATCGGCAAGTCTTAGGCTCTGTGGTTTAACCCACAGTGCCACCCCATCCTTACTTTAAAAAGGGTATAGGATGTCAAACAGATCAACCAAAGGCCTGGTTAAAAAGGAACATTTTTGCCTAACACCTAAAGGTGTATAATGAAGGCACCAGGTGAACTTCCCTGGGGAGAACATTCCACAGACGGGGAGCCACTGCAGAGAAGGCCCTGTTCTCATGTTGCCACCCTCCGGACCTCTCAAGGAGGAGGCACATGAAGAAGGACCTCAAAAGATGATCTCAGGGTCTGGGTAGGTTCATATGGAAAGAGACAGTCCTTGTGGTATTGCGGTCCTGAGCTTTATAGGTCAAAACCAACACTTTGAATTGGGCCTAGAAACTAATTGGTAGCCAGTGCAGTTGGACCAGGATCAGTGTAACATGCTCAAACCGTCTTGCTCCTGGCCGCTGAGCAACCTGGCTAAGGACTGCATGCCAGCCCAGAAGGAAAAAAGAGAACCACATTAAGCATTCTGGAACGCAAACCGCATTATCTAAATGAGATGGAAGCCACTAGACTAATTAAGGCGGATGACAGAAGTACCTTTAAACAGGAACTTGTGCTGCATTGGCGGGGTGGGGGGTGAGGGTCCCATGGAAGAGTGCCAGTTTCCACCCCACTTTTGCTACACATTCTATAATATATATCTGACGTGTCAAGAGTGGGGAGCCCAAGTGTTCAGTGTTGTGCACAGACAGGTTCTGGGGCACACTGACAGAACCAGTCTCCCAAATGCTTGGTCTTCGACATCCGAAACAGCTCAGTCAGCTTGAACCATGTACAGTGGTACCTCTGGTTACGTACTTAATTCATTCTGGAGGTCCGTTCTTAACCTGAAACTGTTCTTAACCTGAAGCACCACTTTAGCTAATGGGGCCTCCTGCTGCCCGCTGTGCCGCGGTTTCTGTTCTCATCCTGAAGCAAAGTTCTTAACCCGAGGTACTATTTCTGGGTTAGCGGAGTCTGTAACCTGAAGCGTATGTAACCTGAAGTGTATGTAACCCAAGGTACCACTGTATATCACTCTTTCTCAACCTGTGGGTCCCCAGATGTTGTTGGACTACAACTCCCATCACCCCTAGCTAGCAAGGCCAGATCTCAGGGATGATGGGAGTTGTAGTCTAACAACATCTGGGGACCCACAGGTTGAGAACCGCTGATGTATGGTAGAAGCGTGCGAAATGCTCCCAGAATGCAAAAGTTCACAGTTGACTCAAGGACAACGATCCAGATTTTACTGTAAAATTTACCCTAATTCATCATGCAGTTCAGCTGCCACAAATGCTTGCGCAGGGGCCATGCTTAATCTTCTTCTGTATCGTTCCAATTTTAGTATATTGCTGCCGAAGCGAGCACAACAAAATGGATCCTTCACAATTTGACAGGGGCCCTGGAAAGTGGTCCTTTGACAAGGGTTGATGCAGCAGCAAAAACTGCTAATGCTATTCTAGACTGCATCAAAGAAATCTAAGTGTCCAGATCAAGGGAAGTTAATAGTACCATTCTATTCTGCTTTGGTCAGACCACACCTGGAGTACGGTGTCTCCAATTCTAGGCACCACAATTTAAGAATGATGTTGACAAGCTGGAATGTGTGCAGAGGAGGGTGACCAAGATGATCAAGGGTCTGGAAACCAAGCCTTACGAGGAGCGGTTGAAGGACTCGGAGACGTTTAGCCTGGAAAAGAGGAGACTGAGAGGAGATATGATAGCCATCTTCAAAAGATAGCCATATTCATGGACTGTCACAAGGAAGACAGAACAAGCTTGTTTTCTCCTGCTCTGGAGGGTAGGATTCGAACCAATGGATTCAAGTTACAAGGAAGAAGATTCTCACTCAACACCAGGAATAAATTTCTGATACTAAGATTTAGTGGCCTCTCCTTCCTTGGAGGTTTTTAAGCAGAAGTTGGATGGCCGTCTGTCACGGATGATATAGCCAAGATTCCTGCACCTTCCCGCTCTATGATTCTATTGTTCTAGGTGTGTTTAACAAAGCGGGAGAGAAGCTACAAACAGAGGTTTGCTAAAAGGGGTTGCACTTTGGGTGAGCTTTTAGGGAAGGCGCTTGCGATATCCATGTTTCAGTTTGTGTGCTGGTTGATTCGACTGATAAAGAAGAGCTGAGCTTTTGAGTTAGAGGGTACGACTGTCTGAAAGGCACAGACCCTGGCTCTATCCTTCTGCAAACAAAGTATTTAGAATACAGCATGTGTACTGGTCCTTAGCTCTTTGGCCCAGTTTAAAACAAAACCCAGCTCCCCGAACAGTCCAATGCAATTATCTTTGAACCCAACTTCATTTTATTTTACCGTGAACTGCAATCTGGAAGTGGGGATGTTTTGATATAACCAACACTTGTTTGCACAGCAGTGCTCCTAATTAAGCTGAAATGTCACCACGTTCATATGTCTGTGTAACATCTTCTATTCACCTATTTTTAAAGGTCAGTCCCCACAGGAAGCAACCTCATTTGAAACTTAACCAAAACGGCCTTTCTGTGGCATCTTTCCGATAAAATGGTATTATACATAGGAAGCTGCCTTACACCGTTGGTACATTTGTGGGACATGGGTGGCACTGTCGTCTAAACCATTGAGCCTCTTGGGCTTGCCGATCAGAAGGCTGGAGGTTCGAATCCCCTCAATGGAGTGAGCTCCCGTTGCTCTGTCCCAGCTCCCGCCAACCTAGCAGTTTGAAAGTACACCAGTGCAAGTAGATAAATAGGCACTGCTGCGATGGGAAGGTAAACGGCATTTCCTTGCACTCTGGTTTCCATCATGGTCTCCCGTTGCACCAGAAGTGGTTTAGTCATGCTGGCCACATGACCCGGAAAGCTGTCTGCAGACAAACGCTGGCTCCCTCAGCCTGAAAGGTGAGATGAGTGCTGCAGTCGCCTTTGACTGGACTTAACCTCCCAAGGGTCCTTTACTTTTACCTTTATGTCTGGTTTAGTATTGCCTACCCTGGCTGGCAACAGCTCTCCAAGGCTCTTCAGAAGGCTGCAGAAACAAACCCCTCCCAGCCCTATATGTAGGTACCTGGGATTGAAATGATAGAATTGTAGCACTGGAAGGGATCCCAAGGGTCATCTAGTCCAGCCCCCTGCAATGAAGGAATCCTGCCCACAGCTGTCCCCGGGTGGGCTTGAACCACCAACCTTCTGGCAAATGCACTGACCAATTTGTGCCATGTGCTTACCCCACAATTGCCCGCAAATTTTAATTTATGCTGTTGGGTTGTCTTGTGTGCTAACAGCTTGCAGGGCGTTTCCTGCAATGTGAGGGGCGGAGGTGGTTTAGACCCTTTTATATAGAAAGCTCAGGTTGTCTTCTTCATGAGGCTGGTGGTAACAGCTGGGATGGGCTATCCGTGTTAATATGGACAGCCGGGCAGACAAAACGTTGCCATCTAATCAGCCTATCAGCAGCTGCCCAAATTCCACGTCTCTTGTTTTTTCTTTCCACAATTTTATTTGCGACATTTTATGTACCACCTTTTCTTCCCAAGAGTTCAAGGCAGCATATATCATTCTCCCACATTATTCTCACAACAACCCTGTGAGGTAGGTTAGGTTAAGAGGCTGTGTGTGGCCCAAGGTCACCCAATGAGTGGGGATTTGAACCCTGGTCTCCCAGGTCATGATCCAACACTTGAATCACTGCACCCCACTTGCATGCACTCACTCTGTGAATGTGCTTCACTGTGTTGTTGTTGTTGTTGTTTAGTCATTTAGACGTGTCAGACCCTTCGTGACCCCATGGACCAGAGCACGCCTCCCGCAGTTTGGTCAAACTCATGCTGGTAGCTTCGAGAACACTATCCAGCCATCTCGTCCTCTGTCGTCCCCTTCTGCTTGTGCCCTCCATCTTTCCCAACATCAGGGTCTTTCCCAGAGAGTCTTCTCTTCTCATGAGGTATTGGAGCCTCAGCTTCAGGATCTGTCCTTCCAGACTGATTTCCTTCAGAATGGAGAGGTTTGATCTTCTTGCAGTCCATGGGACTCTCAAGAGTCTCCTCCAGCACCATAATTCAAAAGCATCAATTCTTCGGCGACCAGCCTTCTTTATGGTCCAGCTTCACTGTGTTAGGCTGCAGAAACGGAGGAAAAAATGCAATGATACCTCATTTTCCTGGTATGAATGCCTCCAAGCTGATATATGACTTTCCTGTCTGCCAACCTGAAAAGGTGTATTACTTATTTCAGATTTTTGAAACAGTTCACCTGCCTAGATTGCACAAAAGGTGAGGGTATCCTTCTTGGCCACAGTCTAGTCCCATTTCTGACTTGCCTCCTGCTCCAGCAAGCAAGCTTTTCCTGGGAAATGACTCTCTCTGCATTCTGCATTTTTCTTAAGCAGAGCTAAGCAAAGATTTCTTCCGAGAACTTCTCAAGTATGAAACTGGGTTTGGGGGAAAGGGTTGGAAGTTTGATGAAGCCAGTCCCTCCCATTTGACTGAGTGAGGGCAGGATCGGGAAATAACTATTGCATGGGCATTTTCTGAGGAGGTAGTATTGAGAAAATATGGCACCAGCAGAACCGGGGTGCTGGGAAGTGGAGTTGGGGTGCATTTTCGCTCAGCACTACTGCCTAATAGTTTGGATGCATTGCTCTAGAGAAGCCAGAACAGCGAATCTCTTTCTGAACCTTGAAGTCAAGAGCTTAAAGAGTGGGGAGGGAATACAATCTTCCAGCAACTATACACAGCTCCTCAAAAGCAGGAAAATAAATAGTTTCTTCACTATTCTGCTGACTTCATAATAATTCTTTTTTTGGGAGGGAATTATGCACATTGCAAAGCTATGCAAAAAATGCCTTCTAGCCAGGACAAGCTTAGCAGAGATCGCAATCATAGTTTAACCTTTCCTCATTGTGTCAGATTTGCCAAGTTAGGAATATTTGGGATTAGTCCCCAAACGTCTGTGCGAAATGCAATTTGAAATACATGTATCACAGAGTTTCCATGCTGAAGCCCCGGAAATATAGAACAGGGGAATGCTTAAGATCTTTTCCAACAGGGTATGACCTCCTGCTCATCATAGCTCTAACCTGCTCAGATGTCAGAAGTTTTGTCCATAAGAAGCAGAACAATTCTCATGGGCTGAGTTTACCCTAGGGCTGGCAGCAAGGGACAGCATGATTGGCACCTGTCTGGTGCCCATCAGTGGAGGATCTTGGGCTCACAAATGTTAGTGGAGCTCTGTGCGACACCAAAATCTGGTGCTCCCCGTTTCTGTGCTCCCATTCTAAATCATATTTGTGGTGCCGCCTGTGGTGTCAAGACTCTACACCCACTCCCCTAAATCTACTGCGCTTTACGTGGGGCTACCTTTGAAGGTGACCCAGAGCCTACAACTAATCCAGAATGCGACAGCTAGTCTGGTGGCTGGGGGCGGCCGCCGAGACCACATAACACGGTCTTGAAAGACCTACATTGGCCCCCAGTACATTTCCGATCACAATTCAAAGTGTTGGTAGTGACCTTGAAAGCCCTAAATGGCCTCGGACCAGTATACCTGACGGAGCGTTTCCACCTCCATCGTTCTGCCCGGACACTGAGGTCCTCCTCCGAGGATCTTCTGGCAGTTCCCTCACTACGAGAAGTGAGGTTACAGGGAACCAGGCAGAGGGCCTTCTCGGTAGTGGCACCCGCCCTGTGGAACGCCCTCCCATCAGATGTCAAGGAAATAAACAACTATCTGACTTTTAGAAGTCATCTGAAGGCAGCCCTGTTTAGGGAGGTTTTTAATGTTTGATGTTTTATCGCTATTATTATTATTATTATTATTATTATTATTACTACTACTACTGCTGGACTCATCCTTCAGCCAGGGTTGAGTCAGACAGGCCCCCTGGACTTGCCGCAGTGAAGTTGTAAACTCATTGTACAATGGCAGAGTTGTGCATCTCAATAAATGTCGACTTTTTCTTTTGCTTCCAGAAACATGTTTGAGAAAGGAAGAGGCAATGAAGGGCACGAGCAATTACGCTTAAGGAAGGAAGAAAAAAAAGGAGCCAACTAGGATATATTGTAAATGACACTATTTTGTTTCTCATTAACTGCTCTGAAACTGCTATTTCAGATAACAAGGGGGCGTAATGGCCAGAAGCATCAGTGCCTTGTTTTGCTTCCTGTCTCCATATTTAACCGTTAAAATAATTTAGGGCTGAGCGAAAGAAGTTTTCCAGAAAAGGATGTTCAGCTTGCCACATCAGTTTGCATTTAGAAAAAACCCTCATGAATATTCACCAACATTTTGGCGTGATTTTCTCCTAATAGAAACATAGCTGCGTGCAATTTTGTCCAACGTGCAGGTATTTGCAAAGCAATCTTGCTTAATGCAATGCATCTT